AGCCCAGTTTATTTCTTAGGACCATTTCACACACCTAAGCAGTGCATAGAAAGCTACTTCTTACCTCTGACATACCTTCTGTAAGAGCCAGGTCACAATTAAACCAAGTTAGGCCCTTTAAAGACTGCTTGTTTTCAACTGAAAAGATAATCAGTGCCTGTCAGTGGCAATTTGGTAGGAAAAAAAATCCCCACGTTCAGTGGTAGTGTAGCACAATACAAAGTGTTGTAGAAAAACAATAACAACAACAAAACGTATACTTACCTTCATTCCTTTTTCCACAAGCTCTTACAGGGCATGAAGGTTGTGTTCTTGTGTTCAGTGGGCCTTACTCCCAAGTAAGTGTGGGTATGACTGAAGCCCAGGGGATCCTATGTATATGGAGTGTTTTCTACAAAAGCACCAATGAGCCTTTTGCGGCAGCTTGAAGACTGACCTGTTTTATTGGGCATAACCTTTTGTGGAGTTTAGCCTTCTTTTATAGGTGTTTTTCTAGGCAAAAAAGGTTCTCTTCCCCCTCCCGTGTGTGTTTTTTGTGTTTGTGTGTGTGTGTGTGTGTGTGTGTGAGAGAGAGAGAGAGAGGAGAGCAAGGCACACTGGTGTCAAGGCTGCAGAACATCCCAGATTTGGGCAAAATGCAGTTATTCTGGATGTGCAAAAATAAGGATGACGAAGCAGGATGCATCCCATGTGTTGTATAAAAAATGTAGCCACACTACCTCTGGGATCCACCAGCATCATACCCCCCCAAAATTTTAAATGTTTCTGATTTTTTCCCCATCATGTCTCTCACAGAGGACAAGGGATTTTGTTGTTGTTGTTTAGTTGTTGTGTGCGACGCTTCGTGACCCCATGGACCAGAGCATGCCAGGCCCTCCTGTCTTCCACTGCCTCCCAGAGCTGAGTCAAATTCATGTTGGTAGCTTTGGTGACCCTGTCCAACCATCTCGTCCTCTGTTGTCTTCTTCTCCTCCTGCCTTCATTCTTTCCCAACATCATGTTTTTTTCCAGTGAGTCTTCTCTTCTCATGAGATGGCCAAAGTATTGGTGCCTCAGCTTCAGGATTTGTCCTTCCAGTGAGCACTCAGGGGTGATTTCCTTTAGAATGGATAGGTTTGTTCTCCTTACAGTCCAGGGGACTCTCAAGAGCCTCCTCCAGCACCACAATTCAAAGGCATCAATTCTTCAGCAGTCAGCCTTCTTTATAGTCCAGCTCTCACTTCCATACATCGCTACTAGGAAAAAATAATAGCTTCGACTATGCGGACCTCCTGTACGTTACGAGCCTTCAACCATAATTCTTCAGGCACTCTGTCCACCAATTCTAATTAAATCTGTTCTTTACTTTCACTGTGTATTCATAAAGGATTTGGTTTAGATTATACCTGACTAGCTCAGTGGCTTTTCCTACTTTCTTCAGTTTAAGCTTGGGTTTTGCTATACGAAGCTGATGATCAGTGCCACAATCAGCTCCAGGTCTTGTTTTTGCTGACTGTATAGAGCTTCTCCATTTTTGGCTGCAGAGAATATAATCAATCTGATTTTGGTATTGCCCATCTGGTGATGTCCATGTGTAGAGTCGCGCCTTGTGTTGTTGGAAAAGGGCGTTTGTGATGACCAGCTTGTTCTTTTGACAAAACTCTATTAGCCTTTGCCCTGCTTTTTTTTTTTTTAACTCCAAGGTTTTGTTAACTATGAGGACTACTCCATTTCTTCAGTGGGATTCTTGCCCACAATAGTAGATATGATAATCGTCTGAATTGAATTCTCCCATTCCTGTCCATTTCCGTTCACTGAAGCCCAGGATGTCAATGTTTATTCTTGCCGTCTCCTGTTTACCCACATCTAGCTTCCCAAGGTTCATAGATCTTACATTCCAGGTTCCTGTGCAGTATTTTTCTTTGCAGCATCGGACTTTCCTTTCACTTCCAGGCACGACCACAGCTGAGCATCCTTTCGGCTTTGACCCAACCATTTCATTAGCTATGGAGCTACTTGTACTTTTCCTCCACTATTCCTCAGTAGCATGTTGGACGCCTTCCGACCTGAGGGGCTCATCTTCCAGTGCCATATCTTTCAGCCTTTTGTTTCTATTGATGGAGTTTTCTTGGCAAAGATACTGGAGTGGCATTGCCAGTTCCTGCTCCAGGTGGATCACGTTTAGTCAGAATTCTCCACTATGACCTGTCCGTCTTGGGTTTCTCTGCATAGCTTCTCTGAATTACTCAAGTCCCTTCACCTTGACAAGACAGCAATCCATGAAGGGGAGGAATGTTCTTTAGTGGCAGGCAAACTAGGAGCTGGGGATACAGAATATTCTGCTTTAGAAAGGATGACATCAGCAGTCGAGGTGGAGTATTCTAGGTCTTGAAATTAGCACTTTCCTCAGTTTTGGGCACCTCACATTTCTAGCTCACAGAACTGAAGTACAGTCTCTGACTGCAGAGTTAAGTGTAGGGAGCTCATTCTTCATTGTGTCTGTCTGATCATGAGCACACCCCCAGAAGGAGGAAATGATAAACCATATCCCAGTACTGTGTACCGAGGGAAAGTCATCCTAAGGGTTGCCATAAGCTGATTTGATGCATCTAACTGTTATTGTATAAGAATTATTAGTAACATATGTGCTTCCAACATGAAATGGAATATCTGGTGATCAAGAAGCTGGTTGTGACAAGCAGTTTCAGCGTCTACTGCCTTTCCTCTGCAAATGGATCTCAGGGCTTTTCATTTCATCTCATAAACAATAGAGTCTCAAATTTCAGGTTCTCACAATCAGTTGTCAATTACTCTCCAGCAAAGAGTAACCTGAGAATCATCCAGGAGGGTGGTTGCACTCGCTTCCACAAAGGGAGGATGATGTTCAAAATACAGGATTATGCAATCAGAAAATGAAGGAGAAAATAATTTGATGTTGTAAATATGACTCAAGGGATGTCTCCAGGCATGTGGCTGTGTGTGAACAGGCTCTAAGATGCCTTATATATTTGTGTGCATAAGGGTACCTGAGGTGGAATAGCACTCAAACCTTAACTGCTGACACCTTTTCTAAGTCATGTGTCAGCTGCTTCCGCATCAATTTTTGCTGCTGCTGAATGATATTTCCATATGCATCCACTCATCCTTACAATAGCCTTCTTAAGGAAGCATGGTGGTGCTATTATTTCCATTTAACAGATGGAACAACTGAGGACTAACTAAACAGAAAGTGGGTAGGCTCATGTCCGCTTAGCACCTTTGTGTAGCCGACGTTAAAGGAGTGTAACTTGTGTAGTTCTTTATGCCTTTTAGCTTCTGCCCTGGGTGTGTGTCTTGGGTGTGGGGAGGGCATCTGTGAGGAAAGATGAAGAGGGTTCAAATACTGGCGAGGCTGAGCACCCAAAGTCTTTTGCTGAGTCCTCAGGTTCCTCTAGCCTCAGGTGATGGACACTGACCAGGGTTCCAGAGGAGCTGCTGTCTTTCTAGCCCTTACCTGGAGATGGGGTGGCACCTGAGACGTTCCCCACGCAAAACACGTGGCTCTTGGCTACCGCCCCTTCCAAGCTGTTCTGCTGCATCCTATGAGGCCTTAGAAGAGAAGGTCCCGCGAGTGTTAAGCGCAGCCTGCCAAAGGGGGGGGGGGGGAAGCAACATCCTACGGCTCTGCCTCTCCTTCCCCTTCCCGCAGGCGGGCCAGAACTTGCTCAGTCAGGGGGGCCTGAGAGGGTGAAACCCGGCCCCACCACCCCAGCCCCCAGGTGCAACCCGGCACAGGAAGGGTTAAAGCAGAGACGTCTCCCCCCCTCCCCTCCCGACGGCGCACCCCTCCCCGGTGTCCTTGGCTGAGATTAATGTGCTAAGAGTCTCGGAGCCGCTCCGCGATGCCTGCGCCGGGGAGCGCAAGTGTTGGTCAGTGATGGAGTTGCTGCCATGACAACCCCTGCAAGTCAGCGCGGGTGTGCGCGCCGGCGAGCGAGAGGCGAGCGCGAGTCGGGAGTCGGCGGGAGAGGAGGAGATGCTCCAGCAAGGCGAGCGGCGCAGCAGAGCCGGCGGAGTAGTAGCAGCCCAAGAAGCAGCCGCCGGTGCCTCCGCCGCGGCCGCCGCCG